CCCCAAAACCCCAAAACCCCATTGTTGATATTATATTCTTTTTGTTTGTTAAAAAAGAAAGAATGCCTTATTTTAATATTTTAATTTTATCTTTTTAACTCTAATTTATAAAATGCGTTTAAATCATCCTGGCAATAGTCAATACTAATCTGATATTTCTCAGCATACTATCAACTTCAAATAGCATTTGCAATCACAATCAAGAAACAACACAATGATCAAATCAAAATTCTTTCTTAGAAGAAGCATGGATTACAACCATAATTAGCAATTCGAATAATGCAATCAAGCTTATGCTAATGAATTCTAATCATTAGGTATTATTCCTGATTAGAAGCGTCAATTACTACCTCAACTTAAATAATCACATGAGCACGGATAAATATAAACTGCACAGTTAAGGTCAAGATCAAATAAAGAAACAAATAAAGGGCATAAAAGTAGTATGAGTAATTATTCAGTTCTTCCAAATAGCTTCAACGATTCCAAGAATCTCATGAACTAGACCATGATGAATTTTTAAGTTTCTATTTTCGATTTGAAACCTAGTAGGTTCTCCAAGTAATAAATAAAAAAGGCTTAGGAGTGGCATGATATAAATAGTGTTGTAGAAAATGCCTCTATTTAAACGAGATATAAAGAATATAGCAGATTTAATGAGTCTTAATATGATAGAAACAATAGCACTATGTACGCGAGTAGTCAATAAAACCATTCTTTCAACTACCAAAACTCCACACTAATATCAATTTAGAGAAAATGAAATAATAAAAAACTGTAGTTACTTAAAATAAAGGCCCGTCTCGATCAAATAACTGAGGACCAGGTAGAAATCCAGAGCAGAAAGCAGCTTTTGTAAAAGATTAGAACGAGTCTTGATAACCCAAATTTTAATCAATAAACCCTGATTAAGACAAATATGAGAGATCTCTAGTATTTGATAAACCATAGGATAGTAGAGTAAAATTAGAGGAAAGCAGCAATTAAGATATAGAAGTTCATAAGAATGCATCAAAAGCGATAAAAGTTTGTTAGATTATTATAGCTTAGAGATCAATGTGCTAGACAACTCTAGATGGTTTGGAAAAAGCGCCGATTTATGAGATTGCTTAGATAATTATAGAGAAAGAAGTTCAATGATAATGCTATCATTATTTAGTAGAATTTGAGATCTTACATTTCATATAAAAAGGTACAAGCTATGAAGTTAGAAAGGGCTTTTGTTCATAATATAATGTACTTCAAACAGATAAAAATGAGGTTAATGATTGACTCCTAGATAAAAATCAGATATCATTATTTAAAGTATAAAAGAAGAAAACAAAAAATATTGTAAGTAGTGAATAATGCAAAAGTAAATGCACCTTTTAGAAAGTCTTTTAAAAAGAATAACTAGGTTCAAGATGCCAATATAAATTTCACAAAGATAGCTCTTGAAGCTAAAAAGAGAGACTAAATTAACAACAGCAATAATAACACTAAGAAAAATGGGAATGAGAGTTAATTTAGGAAAAGGAGTAATTCTAAGAAAGCAAAGAAGATTAAAGAAAGTTTGGAAAGTAACGAGCTTAATAACGTTTTAAAAGCATCAAATAGCAATATTCAAGCTAGAGGAGGTACAAACAAGCAAAGTTCAAAGCATTTGAAACCCCCCTTGCAAAACCGCTCCATGATTGCCTAAATCAATAGCGATAGTTCAAATCAGTTAAACCAGTAAAATACACTATCTGCATCTAATCAGTCTGACCTTATGTCCAGGAGTTAACTAATGATCAATTCTAGAAATGGCAGTGAAACCAGGAGCATCAGAAGAATTATATCCTCGAAGAAGACTTCATCTAATAGTGTTCAAATGATGAGCCTAAGTGGATCCAGTCCTAAATTGGAAACGCATTAACAAAAAAATAATGAGTTATAGGACGATAATTCTCTGAATGAAGATCTCATTCAAGATGTAGTTATTGAATTATAATGAAATTAATGAACTTACTTAAATTTAAATTTAATTTTATAAATAAAAAATTTTAAAAGCACAAATACAACCTTTATTGAGAGAATTTCTCCCTTCACTCAAAGATACTCTTGGTAAGCTTTATATGTCTAATCGTTTTATTGCTCTGTTTCAGTGCCGCCCTCAATCAAGAAATTTGAGTTCTATCTTCTATTTATAATCTTTGAAAGCTGCTCTATCTGTTCTTCAGACACACTCAATTCTTATATGTAATTCAAAAGCACATTTTAATAGTCAATGTTTATACCACTTTACAATCTAGGCTACTATGCAAGATCTAATACCTATTTCAACTCAGAATTCGATCCAACTTTTAACTTTTGCAGAATAATTTAGAGAATCAAGTCAAGTACAAACATCTGATCATTATCGAACATAGACTGATATATAGATGCTAAGCTAATAGAGTAGATATCAGGATTGACAAGCACTTGAATATAGTCAGGTTTGAAGGTTATCTCAGAGAACTTAATCACAAACTCATTATTGGTATTTTAGCCCCTTAAATCAATTCCAGCCTGCAACTAATTAATCAAACTAACTCTTATCAATTCCTAGACAATAGGCATATAATCCTTAATAGGTTTTGTGTTCACTGTGCCAATACTAGAACTTGCTATGTTTTGAAAAGTCATGTTAAATTGTGTCAAATTGAAAACAAGATAATATTAGTTCTGGATAAATGCCTAGACAGAGTTTTTATCAAATTAAGATTCTTACAGTTATATCAGTAGTGTAATTGGCATAAATTGAAATGACTGGAACAAAGCTCATGTTGGCTGGTAGATTATTGCTTCCATTAGCATAAGTGGTGAAATTAGGGAAACTGACATTACTTTTAACGCAGTAAATGTCTAGTTTCATTCTGCTTGCAGCTGTGAAGTAACTTTCTCGCATCTAGATTTTAGGTAACTCATTTGGGCCAAGTCTTAGCATGCATGGATTAGTAGCATTTGTAAATCCTGATTGAGAAGTTTTGTAGAGTTCAGGAAATAGTAAATTTATAAATTCAGTGTCTAGCTGCTTGAGAAACAAATTGAAAACTGGTCTTAGATTCTCAGGTTTTGATGTGATATAGAATCTCAATAGATCTGATTGATATGCTTTTTCAATAATTGAGCTAAATGTCATCATTGAGAGATAAAGCTAAACATCAAATCTGTTATTTCTAAAGCTTTAGATCTCCTACTTTTAGTTAGTGGAATTGTTTGCAGATTGATTTACAAATCCGATTCTAAAGGGTAATGATAAATATTGAAGTTTGATTTATGTGCCATTTAACAAATATGTATAGACCTTTATCGGATACTGTTACTAGGTTATAATTCCTTAATTCAACTTTGTTTCATCTAATCTAGTCATAAAAATGTCGAATGAGTTAGGCAGCTGATCAATAGCATTGTCAATCATTTGCTAGAAAATATCTAAAATATAAACTTAATGCAAATTACCCTAGGCATAGGACTCTATAGCTTCAAGAATCTGAGCTGCAATTAGGTCCTTGTAAAAACTTATCTCATCGAATATATACCTTGTCAAATCAGAATAGCATTCATTCTTAAGAGTGATATCATTCTTAGATAGAGTAGGTTGAAACTGAACTATATATAGCTTAAGTCTGCCATTTTATGAGGTGCATTTCAATCCAATAGTTAGCTGAAAATTGTCAAGACTAATATCTATTGAGCCCTCATCTGCGAAAATAGGAGGAAGGATAAAGGCTGAATAGTTAAATGAGATTTTGAAGTTTATCTGATCTAGACTTAATAGAATAGCTTAGGACTTGTCATCAAATCTCACATCGAAAGCTGTTGATTTAATAGTATTGGAACTAAGTTAGATATTGGTTATGTTGTAAAGCAGCAATGCTTCATCTATCAAATTTAGTTTCATATTCTTCATATCTGGAAACCTAATAACTTATGTCTGATTGGTGTTATTGGAAGAGTTTTATGTTGTATTGATGGACACTTAAATCAAATTTTCTAGAAACTATTATTTATTATCAAAGTAGTCTTACTTATTAAGTCAATGCAATTGATAAAGATGCATTTACAGTAGGCCCATCCCTTGCATCGCAAGTCTCAAAGACTATTGATGAAAGGAATAATAGTATAATTCTGATTAAAATTTTGCATTGTGATTGCATTTTTATTTAAATTGATATAATCTAGCAATAAACAACTATTATTAATAATTCTTATTATAATCTCATTTTTTTTACTTATTGTAAGGGGTTTTGGGGTTTTGGGGTTTTGGGG